CGGCCAAAATTACAAGTGTCGTGGTTCTGGCGGACAGCCGCAGGCCAATTACCACAAGCAACCGCAGACCAGTAGTAGTAGACCAGCCTCAGTTCAACCCATAACCTGCATCAAACCATACGATAGCCATGGCTATACCAACACAGTATCCATGCCTAAAATAGACATACCGGACGGCAAGGAATCGGCCTATGCCGTCAGGTACTAACGTCGTCCCAAGGAATAGCCATACCCTTGCACAAAACCCAATAACCGTACCAGAATCAAGAATGAAGAACCCGTAGTCATATCAGCGTTGTGCCTCCATACCAATGCCGGACCAACATCGAACATGAAATAATCATTATGAAATACCGCAGTCTCTGCCGTTACCAATGCCGAATCAAAATCGAACTGGAAATATGTCGATGTCGATCCAATACTGAGCCTGAAATATGGCGAATACCGTAGCATGCCGCAATGTCGTAATGATACCGAACCTGGAACATGTCGAATATCCTACGATGCCGCAGCCCCGTGGCAGCACCAAACCTCCCCGAACCACGTATCCGAATCGAACCAGATACCGAAGCAATACAGTCGGACCAAGGCAGCACCAACCCACGCTGACCGTGCGACCCCACTCTCGAAACACTCCGACTGCGGCAAAGCTAGTGATCAGGTAAATCAGGTAAGTCACACTCACGATCTCGATTATCGAAAAATAGAGAGAATTGTTAGAATTAGAATAAATAAATAATCCGGGCTAAAACCGATCGCAAATAATTTGAGCTAAATTTGATCAAACATTTAATAATCGTGGTTTTTCTCCCCTTTCATCATTCTTAATTATTTTTCTTATTTCTTAATCCTATCATCAAAAATAATAAAAATAAAAGCAATTTCATCAATTAAATAACAAAATTCCTTTGTTTGCTTTTTCTTTTATTGTTTTTGATCCCTTTTCTTACTTTTAATTCTATTACCAGAAATATCAAATAAGAAGGGCGATTCCCTTAAAATTAAATGTCGAAGAAATGAAATAAAATAAAGAATATCCCGTTTTTCTCCCCCTTTTACTGTTTTCAATTTTTTTTCCCATTTTTAATTTTAATATTAAAATTAGAGATATACAAGGGTTCATTCCCGCATCAGTTGTGCAATGTAAAAAGGCCACGCCAAGGCCTACTCTCATATTGTCGTCCCATGGCTAGCCGTTTCGGAAACAGACTCGGAGTGGGCGGAAATAAGGTAGACGTCAGCACGGCAGAAAAGGTAGTCCCTCTCGCCAATTTGGAAGGCTAGTCTCAACGGGCGACACCTCCAATTTTTAGGGGTGCTCTGGGTACCCCTAATTTTCCCCAACAGTTCAGACAAAAGTCCCGACCAATCCTCCTTTAGGCAATTAATCTAAGGATCGGCCCGCCGAAATTAGGGTGGCCGACTGACCTTCGGCCCCCCGACAAACAAGCCCGGACCTCCTCTCGACGCCCCCGTCGAGCCCGCTCCGTCCTGATCAGACGATCCGTATAAGATTTAAACTCACAAACGAGCTCGACTCTCATGTCTGCGCTTATCTGTCTGGCGCTTGGGTTTTTCTGGAACTCTAGGACTGAGAGGGTGTTTCATCCCTCTCTTCTGTCGTTGTCGCTTAGGTCTCGTTTTAGGGATGCTTCTCAGTCTCTTCCTTCGTTGGAGTGGCCGAGCTGCAGATGCTCCACCCCGTCTAATGCGGACTCTGAGCTTGGGTTTCCGCAACACCAAGAGCCATTTCCTTTTCTTACCTAATGTCAAGCCCTTCACCTTCCGGGTCTCTACCCTCTTCCTCTTTTTCGAGCTCTCTCCTCCCTCGAACCGTCTCGAAGGTCCCTCGTCTGTCACCTTAGCTTTCCCCTTTCCTTTAGGGTTAGACAATCTCTGGGCAGGAGTAGGAATCTCCCTTGTCCTAAGCAACTTCAACCTAGCCCCTGCCACAGGATCCTTCCACTTAGACCCATGTAATTCAGAAATCATATATGCTCCCCAACCGAGTGCGCCGACTACGCGGTAAGGTCCCATCCATCTATTCGCCAACTTTCCCGACCATGTCCTTTTTAGTGCTGCATCGTAGAGAAGTACTAGGTCACCCACAGTAATCTTCTCCTTTCTAACCCTGACATCCTTATCCCATCTTTCCTTGCCCTTGCTTCTCTCTACCGCCAATCGATCAGCAACAGTCATGAGATTGTCCTCCAATCCATAGGCTATTTGTCTCGTCCGGGCCGCCAGAAGCTCCTTTCGTGACACTATCTGCCCAGTCAACTGTAGTCCAACTATCGACATGAAACTCTATGGGCAGAGGGCAGTGCCTCCCGAACCATAGTGTGTAAGGCGAGTATCCCGTGCTAACCCAAACTGTGACATTATCCGCCCAAATTGCGTATCGAAAGTATTTTGGCCAGTCGCTATCGTTACCTCTACACCACTTGGATAGGGACACTATCAATGATTGATGGCCTCGCTCTACAGGTGCATTGGATTGAGGGTGATAGGCAGTGGCTATTGATACTCTAGCTCCCGCTATCTTGAACACATTCTGCACCTCATCTGCTCGACGTCTTTGTACTGTCCTTCCAACCAGTATAGTCTCCGGACCTTCTCATATGTCCCTTTCACTCCTCTATGTCCACCGACCACACCATCGTGTAGTTTCGCTACTATGGACTGCTTCTCTTCCGGATCACAGATCACTCGCAGAGGCATTCCTGATCCTGTAGGTCTGCGGAACAAATGCCCAGACCTAAGGCATTACTGTGTTGCCTGTCTCCTAATTTCTGAGTTCGAACTCTTCTCTCCTGAAGGATGCAGCCCTATAGTCCGGTACTTACCTTCCCTTCATAAAGGTTAACTAGGAATCGATCAGTGTGTCTAGGCTCATTCATAGTTAGTGTGGCGGCCACTATTCGTCGCTCCGCCTCAATTGGAATCCGGAAAAGCCCATCGATTACCGCATTCTTTGTTCCCGAAATTCTTTCCACAGTATAATTGTAGAGCCGGATCCTAATCAACCATCGCGCAATCGTGGGGTCTGTCAGACTGAAGTCTTTCTGTAAAACTGACGCCATAGCCGTAGGATCTACGCGTAGAGTGAATCGTCTCCCATATATGTAGTGTTTAAAAGCGTCTAAGCACCGTAATACAACTAACACTTCCTTCTTAAATTGACTGTAGTTTCAACGGTGTTGAGTGTACGACTTTCGAATCTCAGGGGCCTCTCCTTACCGTCAGCGTCCTTTTGAGAAAGTAGCCCTCCAACTAAACACGGTCGGCGTCCGTAGACACTATGAAGGGTCTGTTGGTCTCGTCCTCAAAGAATGGTACTCCCAGGATTTGTCCCCCTTCTTTAAATTCTTCCTTGACGGTTTGTACCGCAAGCTCCTGAGGAGAATCCCAATAAAACCGCTCCGTTTTCCTAAGGAGAGTCCGTAGAGGCTCTGCCTTCTCCACGTATCCACGTACGAAAATCCTCCAGTAGCCTACAACTCCTAGAGGAATCGGCAGACTTCGGTAGTGCTATGCAATGGAGTCGACCAGTTCAAGAGCTTATCTAACTTTCTCGGGTTCGCTTGGCACCCTCTCGAATCACATATGAATCCTAAAATCTTAATTGTCGATACAACCCACCGACTCTTCGTACCACTAACCGTCAGATTAGCTTCATCTAGCTGTTCCAGGACCGCGTAGATGTCCGTCAGGTGCTGCTCTACGAATCTCCTGATGCTAGGAGCTACCTCCGTCTCATCTTTCAATACGGGCCCTTTTATTGGGAAGTCGTCCAAAAAGACTTCAACTTTGTCAGGAATGAAGTCCTTTAGAACAGCTACCATAGCTCTCTGAAAGACTGCTCCATTGGTCCACCTCATGGGCACGACCATCATCTGCACTTATCCAAGTGGCGTGTGCATGGCAGTGAGGTGCCTATCCCTAAAATCTAGGGGTATCTCATCATAACCTGAAAATAAATCACAGACAAAGTAAATAGATTTGCCTGCCACTCCTTCCACTAATAGATCCACGTGCGGTATGGAGCCCACATCCCGAATTGTAACTGCATTAACCTTCTGAAGGTCCTGAAACCACCGGATCTTCCCACTAGGCTTCCTTAAGAATAACCACCTATTCGCGTAGGCGCTATCAGACGGTTCTGCCACATGCGACGCCATCTTTTCCTTTAGAAAGGCGATCACCTCTTCCTTCTCTTTTTGTGCAAACTTCCACCCTGCATCATTCCACGGAGTATGCGGAATCGTGTAGATCTTGGCAGGTTTCGCGTACCTAGGATCGATCCTCCCTCTTTCCGCGTCACTAAAAGCTATGGCCTTGTCGCAGGTCTTCAAAACTTCTTGCACGCGCTCCTTCTCTTGTTTAGTCAAATTTTCATATCCTATGTCCATCTCCGCTATCCTTTCTTTTGTCATCCGTTGCGGCTTCTTCTTCTTCCTCTCTTTAATCTTCCTAGCGATCTCTTCCTCAGATACCCCATCTAGTGCGGGTCGCTCTCGAGCCACCACCGCCGACTTAACTTTCTGTGCTACTATCTTGTGCTTCTTTGGTCGCCCCCCGTAGGGGGCTGCGCCCTTAAAAAAGACACAGAGATCATACCGCCAAATTCCTCGTCTTCAGCCTTTGGATAGGAGTTTTCACCCACAAGGACGCGATTCCCTAAGTCCTCAACTTCTACTATGCGCCCTTCTTTTTCTGTAAGCAATGCCCCATACTTCTTTTCACGAAAGCGCAACGACCGACTCGCAAGCGTAACCGGCTTGCGGCCACCAACGGCTAGGTCCGCTCTGTTCCTCGGATCTCGAGGCTCGATTGTCTCTATCATGATCCGTCCACCATCCGGACGTTTAATAGAAAGCATCTAGCTTCCGTTCGGTCGCTCTATAGTAACCGCATGAACATGGCTCAGCCATGTTCGCCGCAGTAGTAACTCCGAACTGCAGTCCCTGATAGCAAAAACAGGCATCATTACTCGCAACCCTTTGACCTCAATGGCCGCCTTGTAACAGACCCCAAAGATCTTCTGCTTTCTTCCATCGGCTGTCTCTATCTCGAACAGGTAAGACCTGTCGAGGTCCAGCCTTAATCGCACGGCGAACTCCTCATCCATGATGACAGTTTCCCGGCCATTGTCAATCACCGCATGGAGGACTACTGTCCCACTCCCTAGAATGTAAAACTTGTCAGGGGGCACGCCCTCCATCCCATCCAAATACATTGTCACTGCGCGTTCTGCCTTTGCGCACACTCCCGATACCGCCACCGAGGGTACCTCTGGTTTGAAAGTCATCTGGACTTCGTCTCCCAGAGGAATGCACGTCTTGCGCGTGATCATCTGTAACTCATCTTGCGCGGGTCTCGAAGCCGCCAAGTATTCAAGTATCGTGCACTGCATTGGTTGCCTAAGCGCGCGTCTGAAAGGCTCCACTGTATCGATATCATCCAAGGTGCTCGTCATAGTAAACTTTCGGGCCCCGCACTTGCGCGGCGAAAGTATAACTTCCTCTCCTGCAATCCTCTGCCCATCCTTCTCTGCCATCACATAATCTGTGTCAGTCTTCTTACAGGAAGACGCCCTCGCGGACTTGGTCGCCGCTACCCGTATAGGTGTCGCTGACGCCCTGTCATCAGAACGCAAACTCAATCGCACACTCTGGCTCCTTGCCACCTCTTTACCCTTACTTGGTCGTACCCGCCTGGCTTCAACGTTTTCCTTCATCGAAGGGAACATCGACACATCGCCGAGGTCATGTGCCCACTTGACGTACTTGCGATCATCAAGTACGACAAGCCCTTCATCTATTGCCCGCCTGAGGTCAGGACAATCCCTCTTCACGTGATCATCCGCCCTGCAATAGATGTTGGAATTCCTAGGAGTAGGTGGTCTCGCTTCTGTGCCCCTAATAACCGGTCCTCTTGCAGGTCTCACATCTTGGGTAGACGGGTCTGGGACTTGGGATAGTTTGGAGACTTTGGGTACCCAGGCGACGCAGGATATCCTCCTTGATCATACTGCCCGTGTGGGTTTTCCCGTCGACCTCCACCTCGCTCTGTCCTCTCGTATCCACCACCATATCCATCACGGCGGTCCCTGTCTGACTCCCATCTGGCGCGGGAGTCATCTCTGTCCCTCAAATTAAAATTGCCTGGACTCCGGTATCCTTTAGTGTTCCCTCCATATCCGAGACTGCGCGGATACTGTTCCAGTCTTCCTCCTCGACCGAAAGTGTTTATTCTGCGATACCCTTCACCTCGGCGGTCTCTGTCAATCTCGTCATCTCTATGTCGCCAAGCATCGTCGTCCCTCTCTCTCGCGCAATAGTCTGCTAGCGTGCGAGGACTCCTATCCTCGATGCTCCTCCACGGGTCGGTGTTCCTACGGTCCCATCGCAACGAATAGGGGGACCCAGGCTTGTCCCGATAAGCAGTAACTCCCATCTTCGTCTCGATATTGGCCATCTGCCTGACCATTCCCTTCATCATCTCTCTCATCTCTCTCACCTCGTCTATCACCGTCTCTCTGTCCCTTGGTAGTTGTGGTCTGTTCCTGTCCATCAAATATCGACGCTCTGCCCAAGGCTGATCGTTAAAGTCGGGGCATCTATCCGCCTCGTACTCCCGATAGAGGGAGAAGTCCCTATGCTGCATTCCTCTCCAGACTAAATCCTTATAATCATCGGCCTCAACCTTCATCGCCAACTTGAGTACCGTGGCAAAATCTAACTTGTTGTCAAACATCTCTCTCAATACCCCCTTCTGCTTCCCTTTGGGCAGTCGACCGATGAAGATCGTGCATCTCTCGACCTCCGACAGCTTCCCTTTGGCAATCAGGGCGTCGAATATCTTCAGGAAACGCCTCCCAAAAGCTTGAACACTCTCATCCTCACCCTGAGTCATCAGCTCCAAGTCTCGAATTGAATACTTAACATCCTCTAGCTTGAAGAACTCGTAGAGACTGGCCTTATAGGTAGTCCATCGTCTATCTTTGGGTCGGGCTTCTTTAATCACTTGACTCAAGCTCGGGTGCGTGTTAAATAGGAAGTTATCTATGATTTCATCCTCCGACCATTGACTGCGGTACGCATGCAGCTCCCACTTCTCGAGATACTAAGTGATACCGTATCCCTTGAAAATGGGGGGTCTGGTGTCTAACTCAGAAGGCTGGTGCGAGATGATGAACCTGTCTCTCCTCTCGTATGGTAGGGAGTACGACTCGCCCGTCTGCGGGTCATAGATCCGCCTGGGCGGTGCAGCCCTCTCTCTGTCTCTCCAAAGTTGCTCCCTGATGTACTGGTCCCTCCAGTCACCCCTTCCTCGGTCACCTCTATCGTCTCTTCATTCAGACGTAGGTGAACGTCGAATAATCGACTCTCGCCGAAAACTCGGAGGTTCCGTTTGACTCTCCATCCGCACCACCGTAGGGGCCTTGTTTGGCTCTGTGACGACCGGATAGGCCATTACCTCTGACTCTCCGTCGTGAGGTTGCTCTACACATCTCAAAAGGGCGTTCTGCCTGATACGCTCCTTGAGGTCTCGCAGAGCACGATTCGATGATGCTCGGTATATAGCGGTCTGTTGTTCCTCATCGGGATGTGGACCCATCGTGTCAGACTCCATACACTTTTACTCACCTTCCGGCTTGAGTTTGTACTGGGAGTCTATTGTCCTTACCCCACGAACAGGCAACCCGGACCTAATGTCAGAACCGGCAGCCCGGACCTAATGTCAAAACCGGCAGCCCGGACCTAATGTCAGAACTAGTCCCGCCAATCTCTAAACGCCCAAATCTAGCTCTCAACCGCCCTCAATGTCACTATCACTCTTCCGCTCTCATCTCGGATCTCGTGTGTCCCTTCTACTCCTAATAACCCCATGTCAAGGAAAAGTCGGCCTTCCTGTCCTTCTATACAGGCAGCGCCTCTCCAGACCTCCAACACTCCCGTCTCGGGGCACCTCACTCCCCTACAAATCGCACTCCCTATCGCACGTAACTCCTCACGAGTACAAGCTCGCAACCACGCTCGTAAATCGATAGATGTCCTCCTCTCTAGATCGCTCAATCCTTGCCGTACTGTTCTGGCTCCGGCTAGCGGGTACTCACCTCCTCTTGCCATCAACCTCCTAATGTCGTAAGGCGAGCTCAATCGATGTGCCGAAGTTCTCCTCCTGCGCGATCCGATACGGTATTGGGGGCTTAGGAATTCCTTCAAAGATCATTATCAGCGTGCTCCAGTTTACGCTTCTCCCTAGCAATAGTAACCTATCCCTCTGACCTTCTACAATCTCTTCTGCACGCTCCCAACAGCGACCGTACACAAGGTCTACTCCTCTCTCTGCAGGCAGGTAGATCCTCACATCATATACGTCTAAATGGATGAACATGGCAGTCACCACATATAGTACCTTTCTACCTCATCCGCTATCCACTATCCACAGCTCGTACCTTTCTACCTCATACGGAATCGCTTCTCTCCTCCCTAGCGAACTCAGAAGGCCACAGATAGTCGCCAGTCTCTCCTCGGATGGCCTGTTTCCGACAAGAAATCTCTCTTCTCGACTGTAATTCACACTCATTCGCTCCTTCCTTCATCCTATTCATTCTTTGTCGACTCCCTGCGCTCATCCTTCGTCCTAACCGTCCTGGTGAATCCTACTATCGCCTCCCATCCGTTCCGCTCCAGTCCTCTATTCGAAATCGACGACCTAGGCAGATCGTCAAAAATCGAGATGTCGTCGCAGACCTCTACACTCTTTCCCAGGTCGTCTAATCTCTTCTTCTCTTCCCTCAACTTCCAGGCGGCTATCCTCCAACACCTCGTGTAGACACAGAACTCCTCGCGCTCCCTAGGTAGATATATGCCTACGGTATACTCCAAAGTCGGGTAAGCATACGGTCATCACATAGAATTGATTTCTATCCCGACCGCTATTTGCTTCCTGATACCTCACCACCTCGTAGCGAAAGATTTCCCGTCGGCTAATAGTGCTCAAATCTTGGAGTACTTTCTCATGCTCAAGTTCACTGGGTCCGCTCCATACCGAAAACTTCCACCTTCTTCGCGCTAGCTCCGCCTCCGGTAGTGGCATCTCTCATCCGTCCCCATGAACCACCTAGCATTCCATCGCGATTAACGCTAAGGCCAACAGGACTCTATCCGCAGATTCCTCTAAGAATATGTAGAATGTCTCGAAGTCGTCTATATCCCCAAAATCTTCAATATCTGCTAAGGTCTTAAGGTGCTCGCTCCAGTACCTGTTGTGAGCTTTGAGCATTCTGAGAACGGAGTTGTCTACTATAATCTCTGCTAAATCTCCAACTACTTCCGCCTCACTTTCTAGTAGTCTCTCAGCCTCTCTAGGGGTCTCGCGCCACGCCCTACTCAGGGGCCGCTCATCGAAAGGAGACACGCACAACACGTAGTTGATCAGGCACGCGCTCCCCTCTCCTACCCAGAGTCCGGTCACTCGCGCTTTCTGCACAGCCCGTCGAGTACACTCCGCTTCTTCGATTACGTCGAGTCTCTCCAGGTGGACCAATTGTATCACTACACAAGTGACTGGTTCATCCGACCTCCCTACTGTACGCATAGAATGTTTTTCAAAGCTCATCGTCTCCTTTCATTGCCCCGACGTTCCCTCGACATCCTCCTCCTTTTTCGGCGGTGTAGCTTCTGATGACTCCCCTATCCTTTCCATCCACTCAAATGACCGCTCCAGTTCCTCACTACTATGATCTCTCGCCTTTACGCTCTCCGAAAAATCTAGACGCCATCTTCCGAAAAATTCTTTATTCTCTCTTAAAAGCCTCTCTAACGCCCTCGTCGTTGCTTCTATCCTACGCAACTCACTCTCACTCTTGCTAGGCCCACAATCTTGAATCTTGTTGTCGAGCTCCTTGACTTGTTTTACCACCGGTTTTATGATTCGATCTTCGACCCTCTTTATTCTCACATCTAGATCTTCCATCGTCTAAGACCCATCTCTCTCTAAGCCCCAAGCACCTTTTAGATCTTACTCCGAGCTTCAGTGGGCTTCTCGTCACGAACTATCTCTAAGCACACTCGACTCATATCCGGCCCCTAGCTTCCACTACCGTCTCATCATAGAACAACTCCGCGCGCAGGTATCCGGTCGACCATACCATCACCTCATAAGTTATCTTTGTCTGGAAGGTTATGCATATAAGGACCTCTGGCCGATGCTCGCGTATGAATTCTCGGGCTCGTCGAGAGCACTCGTGCTTTGTCAGGTCTTCGTCTATGTACGCTCTGAGTAAGACGGTCACCGTGAAACCCTCGTTCACTAATTGCCTGCTTACATTAACCCTCGTAGTCGTCCGTCCTGGCATGCCTCCTACTAACTATGTTTGAACAAGTATCTCAAGTCCGCCAGCCCCATGTACTTCTCCTCGACTCGTCTCTTACAATACGCTATCAAGTCAGCAGGGGTCGAGCAGTCTACCCAACAGGTGGCGTCTATCAGGTCTCTCAACGCTCCGTCGTCTAAATGTCCCCACCACACGCACACCGCAAAGTATGCTTCTTTGAATCGGGGCGCCAAGCCCAATCCAAGTGCGCACAGAGTGTCGTTGACCGCTCGTCTCAACCTTGCAACTCCCCCGTATGTTTGATCGATCACGAACGCGGGGATAGCCCACCTCCACCCTTGCGCAGGGTAGAGGTCTGACCTCGGGGGCCCGTACACGATACGTACAAGGGCGCCTCCTCCTTGGACTAGCGCGGTTGCTTTCCTGGCCACTATACTCCTAGCTAAAGCCTCGAACCTCCACCAAGTCCGTTCAGCACCTACCAATGTCAATCCTATCTCGATCCCTTGCTCTCTATCAAAAACAAGATGTCCAACGACCTCTACTAGTCGAGTGTCTCCTGCCTCTCTAACTCCCAGGGTTACCGTCCACAGGCAAACGCCCTTTGCTATACACGTCCCTACATACTTGAGCGGAGCGCGGCCACTCTCCTCAAGTCGCATCGTAAGGGGTATGTCATACCCGAGGTTAGTCTCTCGGGGCTCCCTCAGTTTGCTCACTCTATATGAGTCGGAGTCCCGTAGTAGCAAATACGCCCACCATGCGTCCGAGTCACTCCTCATCACGCCATCCACCTCATCGATGAGAATGCGAATGGCCCTGATCTCTGATCCGAGTAACCAACTCTATCATCTCGTGCCACTTATACCTAGATAAGTTTTTCCCTATGACTGGGGGACTCGGAATCCCCTCGAACACTTCGATCCCAATATTCCAACTAACTACCTTTCCTGCTTGTTCTAATCGTACCACCTCTCCTGCTCCCAAACTAGTCGCGGTCTTCCAAGCCTTCACACTCAGTCCTTCCCTTGCCCGGGTTGCACGTACATAGTTTCGCACGTCGAACTCGTCCACGCTAAGGAAGTGATATGTGAGAACGTACACGCGCCAAGGATCTATGCCTCCTCCTTGGACATAATCGTATGCGACGAGCTCGTATGGGAGAACCTCTCTCCTCGTCTTCTCGTTCAGGGATCGTATGACATCATTGATCTCCTCTCTCGTAGGGCCTCGTCCCTTGCTGAGTAATTGATCCCAATAAGCTCGTCTAAAGGACATCACATGCCTGCCCATCTATAATCCTCACCATCGTCTCCTCCTCCTAGCTTCTTTCTCCTATGCTCTAAATCCCCGATTACTACTCCCTATGTGACTCGTCCCTCGGTGTTAAGAACACGAGTGCCGCCTCCGTCACTGAGCCCCATCCACGTCTAGCATATCTACATCACCAACCTCGGCAACCTCACGTCCCCAAGGGATATGCTCCTGCCCCTGCGCCTGGGGGAGGTGTCCCCAACCGTCCTCCGACTGCGCCTCTCCACCTGCGCGGTCCTCCTCCACGACCTCTCGGGCGGCTCCAGGGTCGTCTAACACCAAATCTCCCCAGCCCAGGTCCTGATCCCCCCAAGGCTCTATATCGTCGAAGGCCTCCCACTCTCTATCATCGGCGTACCACCCAAGGTCCTCTCTATCGCGGTGTACTCTCCGATAATACTCCTACTGCTCCCAGATCGAGATAAGGAGAGCGGGCCTGCTGTCACGGGTCTCGCTCAGTAACTGCTCGACCCCCTCTAAACAGTCTACAGGCCTCTGAACCTCTCTCTCCAGGGCTAACCAGAACTCTGGAGGCTGGTATGGATGAAACGACTCAGGGTCCGTAGAAGGAGCCAGGGCTCGTATGAACTCTATAAGTTGGAGCCCTCTCTCCCCAGTAAGGGGTCCTCCGATGAACTGTGCGTAAGCAATCCAGTCTCGATCAGTCAGCCCTCTACTCAAAACGCCCAGCTCAAGGGCGGCGAAGTAAGTCTCAGCGACGTGGTCCAGACCCCAAAGCTCCTCCGCCACAAAAATCGAGAGTCTCACCCGTAGTCGGACGCTCGGGAATGTAAAGGCCCCTCCGAACCGGAAAGTCGTCCTCGTCGCCCTAACCGGGTCGTGCAAGCTCTCGGCCTCCTCACGGACCCTCTCTACCTGACCCGATAGAATCGCCCTAGCCTCCTGCTCATAGCGCCAGAACCCATGCACCAGTCCCTCAAAGTAGACCGCGGCCYTCACCGAGCGCGAGTAATAAATGTACCCTATAGCCTCAATGCTCGTCGTCCCCGGCGCTCACCAGCGTTGACCGTCCGACTCGTAGGTCTCGACCACGTATGTCCACAGGTACACGTCGGATCCCAACCGTATCAATCTCCAACAGCTCTGCAATCTAGATTCGGCCACACTCCTGGTCGGTCAGTCGAACTCCAGCAAGTTGGGAGCCACGAACTTAGGAGCTCTAGGCCATTTGAGATCGTCGAAGGGGAGCTTGACTCTGTCCTCCTGTTCCTCGCCAACCTATACCCCAGCCAACACTCGCTCCTCTGCAACACCTCACCTAGGTCCTGATGGGTATCCCTATCCGCGAGAAATGCGCGTCGACGGCGTCGTCCTCCTCCTCTGACTCACCGTCCTCGCTCTTAGAGTCGAACCAGTCAGGCTCCCAGGCCTCCTCGTCATCGTCTCTAATCCACCCCTCGCCGTCCGGCTCGTCCTCTAGGCGATATGGGTGAAGTCTGATCGCCCGATAGTACTGGACTAGCTGGTAGTCGTAAATCAGAGGTCGTTCGGCGTCGTCGCTCCACCAGCTTCCCCAGTCCTCCGAGAAGAGCCTACCAATGCAAGTGACGAACTTCGGCCCTGCCCTGAGCTCGCGGTCCAGCCAATCCCAAATGTACGAGGGTTGGGGAGCACCCCGCCGGTAATCGTCCCCCATGGAGCGGATCAGCTCCATGAGCTGAACCCTCTCGTCTCCCCAGCGCGGTCCTGCAGTCACGAGAGAATAGTATATGTGGTCAAGGTCGAGGCTCCCTCTAGCGAAGAGCTCAAGCTCTCGGAACGCGAAGTAGGCCTCAGCCAAGCCTCTGACTCCTCCGAAAACCGTGTCTACAACAAATAGGGGTACGACCGTCCTCAAGTAAGACCCGGAGTGGGAAAAAAACCCGTCCCGGCCTATATGAAGATCTACAATGACGATCAGGGGTGGTCGCCCATGAAACAGAGTCAACGGGTCTCGTCCGTCGTCTGCCAGGAATGCGACAATCTCGTCCTGCAAATAACGCAAGGCCCTGCTAATGACGTGGCTGGTCCCCGATGTCGCAAGCCCCAGGACGACCCCTTTGGTCATCTCTAAGTCCAGGTACAAATGGCCCTTCACTAAGCCCTCTCCCCTGGCTGCTCTGGATCTCTCTGTATGTCCACAACCAAGTGTCAGGGAACAGAAGGATGGACCTCCACCCGTATGGTCCGTCGACCCAGTGAGTGGTCCGCGAGGGAAGTGTGAACTCGACTAAATCACTCTCTATGAATTCAGGTGGCTCCACCTCCCAAACGCGTACCGACTCGTACACCTGGACGTCTGCGGGCTGCCACATCCAACCGGGTGCTACAAACGATAGACATGGCGGTGTGAAGAAGGAATGTAAGAAAAGAGCTCGAATTCTTAAGAAAAGTCCGGCAATGCTTCGCCTCCCCCCGTTGGGATGGGTTGCGGGAGGTACTCCCTGAATAAGCGCTACCTACCCAGGCCCCTCAAACCCTAAATAACCCGGGCGCAGAATTCCCTACTCGCATAGGGGTAACAGGCCTTATACTTGAGTTCCCTCGGATATAAGGCATGTGCACAATTCGAGGGAATCCAATCTACTGCCCTCTTGGTCGCGAGTCTGGCCAACCGACGCTGTGTCCTAGTCAGAAAGCAAAATTATGCCGCACAGACGCTCTTTCAAATTTTTAAGCCATTCTCCTATTCTTAAGGTATTTATATTGTATTAAGTCACCAAAATTACGCGCCCTCAAGAAGAATTCACTGCTCCTCGTTCAACTCATAGGGAATAATAAGATAACCCCTAACGAGTAACGAGGTGAGTTTGTTCTTCTCTTTAACCTCCCTTTCATATTTATTTTTAATTTTTCTCTAATAATTACAAATTAATTGTTTTAATCACGAAAAATTCCTCTTACTTGCCTCGGCCTTCGAGGATAGCCTGATATCTTCCCTCGAACCCAAATTACTGTAATTACGTCCTCACTTCTCCCTATAGGGAATTTTCTTTCATTTTCTGATTATAAATTTAAAAAAAGAGTTTTATTAGAAAAAAAACACTTTGCCCTAATTTATATGTATTAAGAGTCTATATAGATGCATACCCTCCGAGTTTCAGAATTTTTAGGGGTAGAACTGATTTTTGGGAATTTAACAAAATTTCGGCAGCATTTCACCTCCCCCGATTGGGATGGGGTTCGGGCAAAGCCCTCAAACAATGCCGCCGAAAGGGGTATACCTCAAAGAATAATGGAAAAAGAATAAAATTGATTTTTATGCAATTTCTAAATATTTTTATTGATTAATTAACAATAAATTTAAATTAAAAGAAAATTTTCAAAAAAAAAATCAAAGCAGTTTCCCTTCCCCCGTTGGGATGGAGTTCGGGAAATCCTCCCTTAATCTGTTCGAAAAAAAACCGCAGAGCAAATTTTAAACAATTAAATTAAAATTAGGAAAATACTATTTTCAACTAGGCTACCAGCCGAGCCACCTGGGTCCCGGGTGGCCAGCCCGTGCAAGGATTGGGGAAGGTCCCAGTAAAAAAAACAAAAAAATAAAAAATCCAAAAAATCCGAAAAGAAACTATGTTATGCAGAAAAATAAATTGAACAACTTTTGCCTCAGGGTCACATCGAAATTCTTCACCAAATTTAGAATAAAAAATGAAATTTAAAAATAATTCTTTTATTTTTATTATTTTCATTCTTTTTGGCCCGTCCGGGCAAGTGACCCCGGGCCACTCTGGTAGCCTAGATTTTCAATTAATTTTTAAATATTTTTTATATTCTTGATCAATAAAACATATAAAATGCTGAAAAACACAAATTCGAAAATCTGTGTGGGTATCTTTTAGATTCTTATTTTTCATACCATATTCGGGGTTGCTCTCACTTCCTAAAGCCCTAATTAGGGTTTGGCCTAATTAGGGTTTTTCCTATTAGGGTTTTAGGATCTTGCCAGCGACCGCACGCTTACCGCAAACCCCGTATTGACGTAGGAATTTTCTTTGATTTAAAGAGAAAACTTATCGGATTACTTTTCTTAATTTTTATTTCTTTTAATTTTCACAAAATTCCAAAAAAAAATCAATTCCCTTTTTATTTTTCGTTATTTTTGGTTGCTGTCGGAGTTCGCCGTTTCCCCAAACCAACTCCCTTCTCCCCGAGTAAGGTCTCAAAATGACGGGAAAAATAAACTTGACAACTTTGGTCTGGGCGATTGTCTCCAGATTCTGCTCTACTTTTCCGTAAAAATTAAAAACAAAAAAACAGGGAATTTTGAATTAATATATACAAAAATAAACAAAATCAATTTTCTAAAAACTTCGCATCAGATTTTTCCGAAAACGGTCTCAAAACTTTTGCCTCGTCGAGAGGTCTAAATTGACCCCAGCGTTGTCCGCCCAAACACGCACGGATCGGGAGATATTTAAAAAAAAATAATTCAAAAATTATCAAAAATAGAACTAATCAAGAAAACGAACTAATTACTACTTTGAATAATCAGCCCACGCACCCCCGTTGGTTGGGGAAGGCCGTGGCCTTGGAGGTGCAATCCCCTCCCCGACAACGACGCCAAAGTTGTGAGGAAACCCGAGGAGGGGACGCCTATTGCTCGCTGAAGCCAAGGGCCACAGCGCCTGTCACTCGCTGCGCCCGCTTCCGAGGTCCTCAGCGATCAATAGGGTACTTGGGTTTACTTGCCTGTTACACCCCTGCTCTTAAATGACCCTTGGGAGTGAGTGGAAAATAGGAGCAAAGAAAAATAGACATAATAAAAAAAACTTTCAGCTCACTTATCTGAAATGCAAACAACTGGCACAAGGACGGATCTGTAACACTCCTCGAATAACCAGAACGAACCTAATATATTTAGCTCTCTTATTCAATTATCACAAAGGCGTGAAGAAGCATAACTTGTTATTGAGGGGACCGGTTTATTCTCCTCACACTCAAGGCCATATTAGCAGCAGCTGCTCTGCATAAATTAATTCTTAAATCGTCTTTGATCACTGGCAATTCTCTACTTTTCAATAAACAGGCTTATTCATTAGTGCCTGCAGGCAACTTCACGTTTCAATAAACTGCCTCGATCATTAGCGCTATGGCCGCTGTTACTTTTCAATAGCTTGGTATGACCAACAATGCCCGCTACGCTGTCACATTTCAATAATCCGCCCTGATTACCAGCCCCTGCGGGCGCTGTCGCATTCGAAAAGAAAAGGGCTTGATCATTAGCCCCCGTGGCGCCGTCATAATTCAAAGGAAAAAAAACTGCCCTGATTACCAACGGCTGAGCGCGTTGTCGCATTCAAAAAGAAAAGGGCTTGATCATTAGGGCCCCTGGGCGCTGTCACATAACACTCCGTCTCACTCTCTCTCTCGTTCTCTCACACACGCTTACAACCGCACAGTCTCTTACTCGCACGCACTCGCTCACACAATCTCTCTCTCACACGCACTCGCTCACACAGTCTCTCTCTCACACGCACTCGCTCACATAGACTCTCCCTCTCACGCACTCGCTCACATAGACTCCCTCTCGTCTTCTTCTTCCGTCTCTCTCCTTATCTCATCCGCTATCACTCACTTCTTATACAAACTCAGATTTTTACTCGATAAAAAGTCCCCCCTTCCCATAAGTTCGTTCCCCAGGAGGACTTCGAAAGTACCAGTTATAGGTCCAGCCCCTCAGCCATACTAACAAGATACTCTGCAACTCGCATTACCGATTTGTCAGTGTCCCACTGTAGAGTTCGTTTACCTTTGTATGCACTGTCGAAATATCAGATGCGCGGAGTTGAAAGTCGATTCGAATTCAAGACCGGTTGTGCTCAGCTACTCAAGAACTCTCTCGGCAGCCACAACGAATTAAACGAGTAGCCCGTTCCACTATTATCACGTCTTACTTGAATGATATGCCCTCCGATTACACCGTTCGGAGCCTCAAAGCACGTTACTCGCCACGCCCGTTTCACTGTCGAGGGACAAGTACAGAATGTATAGAGCAGCGAAGCCTGCGTACTCAGCGTTGAAACGTCACGAGAGATCGGCTAACGGAAGTGTGACAGCCAGGTCAGTGTACTCCTGTCACATTGTCCTGTCAGCATCAGGACGACACTGCTAATGCCACGTGCTGAGTCACTGCCCCTTCCCCGAATGACATTATCTGAGTTTCCGTTGCACACTTAGAGCGCCTGCCGCATCTCTTCTCTCTGTCCACCTCTCCATTTTCCGTTTACCATCTGGTCTCCGCTCGATCATCACGAACGGGTACGAAACGTGCACTGCGCCAGACAAGCTACACATCAGCGGAAGAGGAGCAGTGTGAGGGCTGCGCACACAAGCCACGCTCGTCAACCCCTTTATGTTACGGACTTCGCCAGGGCTCGATCCCTGGTCTATCTTTTGCTGTTTCGGCTGCATCCCGTTTTCGGCCTGGCACCCTTTTTCCAAACCCCTC